CCCACAAACCTCCAGAAGATAGGAAGGAAGAGTGGAACCGGTTCTTCCTCACAGCTTCAGGAGGGACCAACCTTGCCTATGCCTTCCTTTCACACTGAATTTGAGTCTGAAACACATTTCTCTTGTTTAAGCCACCCAGTTTGTTGTACTTGTTATGGCCGACCCAGAAAACAGTACACTCAGATGGCTTGGAAATTCAAATTTCTACTGTTCTTACTCTTTTCCTGCCTAACAGCAGTATTTCCTTTCTCCATCTGTGCACCTTTTCAGCCCAGTGAGGCAGACCCAGCTGTATGACTGCCAGCGGGGAGCTGAAAGTCACCCTTGATTCTCAATGACTTCCCTCCCACACGTGGGCGATCATTCAAAGGCTGAAGGGTTAGGAGCACAGACTTTGAATCTACTTGGTTTAATCACTAACTTCCACATTTACTAGCTGTATGACCTTGAGCAATTTTCCAAGCCTTAATTTCCTTACCTGTTGAACAGGGCTAATGCTAGCACTAGACAGGTTCATTATGACAGCCTAGAGAGAGAATACATGTTAAGAATTTAACATTTAACCTGGCATATAGAACATGCTGTTCTCATCATGATTACCCTAAAACAAACTTTAGAATTCATTAGTTTCTTGTGCATATTTCAGATTCATATTTGTTTACATGATCACCATGTCACATTTCATTTTTATAGACTGTGGTTTATAATTTGCTGGTATGAGTGACTAGGCACTAACTTCTTACTCAGCAATGTCTTGCACCTTTGCCAATACCTAAAACTGAGAAGAGGTAACTTAAAAGTAAACTAGGAGAATCCATTGGGTTATGGGAGTCATGACGTATATTTTCTGTTTTCCTATGCAAAAATGAGTCATGACTTTTCCTACAGCCCAATATTAAAGCATCCTTATAGCACCAGCATGTTTTAGCTTCATTTTGGGGGTTAGAACTGGTTACATAAATAAGTCTTTTTTTTTTTGGAGAGGTTTTCGCTATAGGGCGCGTGCGCTCACCGACAGACAGAGAGAGACAGAGAGACAGAAAGTGAGAAATCACCCCCCAGGGCGGATGGTCACGCCACAATCCCTTCTCCTCCATTCTCCTCTCGGGATCTTGGGCACGCACGCACACACGCCCGGCATGAGTTTTAAGCCACCAGGTCCGAGATGCGAACCGCGGTCAACTACGTGGGAGTCCAGTGACATAGCCATTACGCTAACTGCTGGTTCCCTTTTTTAAAAGAATTATTTATTTCTTTTTATTTGACCAGAGACAGAGGGGCAGTGAAAAAGCAAGCTGCCAGGCCTGGGACTTGAACCATTGCCAGCCATATGGGAGTCCCACGCCATCACCTCAGTGCCACCAGCTGGCCCACATAACTAAGACTTTTTAAAAAACTGTAGCTTTCATTCTAAGGGGCTTTGTTACTGACAGAGACAGCCATTTTTTGAGGTGAAATATTTAGGCAATGGTCCATGATATAAGTTAACAGAACAAGTTACAGGCTACTGGAAGACAGAAACCAAGTCAGGAGCTGGTTGGGAATAATGGTATAAACCAAAAGGCACTTAATAATTTCCCCCCCACATTGTTTGGTAACAATTTTTTTCTTTTTTGGGGGGAGAAATCTTTGCTATAGGGCGTGTACACTCGCCACAAAGACAGAGAGACAGAGACAGAAAGCGAGAAATCCCTGCCCCCCCCCCCACGCCGGGGAAATGGCCATGTCGCTATCCCTTCTCCATTCTCCTCTCGGGATCTTGGGCAAGCACACATATGCGCCTGGCGTGAGTATAAGCCACCAGGTCCGGGACTCAAACTGCTGTCGGCTACATGGGAGTCCAGCGACATAGCCATTATGCTAATTGCTGGTCCCACAATTATTGTCCCTTAAGTCTTTTCCAAACTCTGTGCTCTTATGTGGGGTAGGGTGTGAGAAATCTAATGTGCTTCGCATATTAAATTTTATTAACTTCAGATGATAAGAAGGGACCAGCAGTTGGTGTAATGGCTATGTTGCTGGACTCCCATGTAGTTGACTGCGGTTCGAGTCCTGGACCTGGTGGCTTAAAACCCACGCTGGGCGTGTGTGCACATGTGCGTGCCCATGATCCTGAGAGGAGAACGGAAGAGAAGGGATTGCGTGGCCATGGTGAGTTCTCGCTTTCTTTCTCTGTCTTTGTGGCGAGTGCACGTGTCCCATAGCAAAACCACAAACAAACGAACAAACAAAAACTCTATGAAAAAAAAAATGTGCTGAAATACTATGTACGAGTCTCCTCCAAAACTTACAAATTCCTTAAAATTGCTTCAAGAAGGAACCTACCCCTTTGCCCCTATTCTTTCCTCCATTTAGAATCTCTGCCCTCACATACACCTGTCTGAATTTCCTTGTTTTTCTCAGCCAATTTCTAAGGCTGCCACAAACTTAAAATTTTTCCCTTACCTTTATGCATCATCTCCACTCCCAAACCACAAGCCACTCTGTACCCTCTCTGTGACTCTGAGGTATTCGGTGCAAATCCTAATCCTACCATGAAAATGCAGAACAGTAGGGACCAGCAGGTGGCATGGTGGTGAAGGCACTGGACACTCCCACATAGCCAACCACGGTTTAAGACCTGGACCTGGTGGTTTGCTTTCTCACTTTTCCTCTCTGTCTCTCTCTGTGTCTGTGTTTCTCTGGTCAAATTAAAATAAATGAATGAAGGAATAAATATTTTTTTAAAAAAATGCAGAGCAGTAGAATAAATATCACCTTTACAAACTTTGCAGCTTTTTTTCCTTTAAAGCTGAAGCTCAGTAACTAGTCATATTTGTATGAGTGACAGACGGCAAGAGGCAGGGTCAATTAACGCTTTAAAAACGAAACTAAAAGCATTTGAAAAGCTAAAAAAATGAACCCTATCAAGTTATTAAAATTTCAATATGTCTCGATTCTGGTTAACTCTAACATCCTTACTACGTTATATAAACTTTTGTTTTCACAGAATTCAAGAGTCTAACATTAACTGTTCCCTGTATCTACAACCAGGAACACACCAAGTGCTTAATAATTGCACACTAGCTTGGCGACCTGTCAGGGCGTCAAAACAAAGGAAAGTACATTTTGTTTACTAGAGGTGCAGGGGAATGGTCAATCAAAATTAAAACGTTCAAAATTAAAGCTTTCTTGGGGAACTAGAAGTTAGCGTAATGGCTGTTTCTGGACCCACGTAGTCGACCATGATTCGCATCTCGGACCGGTGGCTTAGAAGTCATGCCAGGCGCGTGTGCGTGCATGCCCAAGATCCCAAGAGGAGAATGGAGGGGAAGGGATTGCGGCGTGACCATCCCCCCGGGGGGTAATTTCTCGCTTTCTGTCTCTATGTCTCTCTCTGTCTGTCTGGCGAGCGCATGCGCCCTATAGCGAAAACGTCTCAAAAAAAAAAAAAAATTAAAGTTTTCTTCTGGGGGTAAAAAAAAAAAAAGAAAGAATTGGAGTCCTGGCTTTCTCAAATTCCATCCTTAACTCTCCAAAGTCTCGGACTTCGGGTTTCTCAGCGATTACGTTTTTTTGTTTGTTTTTTAATTGCTATAAACCCAGACCCTATCACTGGGTCAGGCACATTGTAGATGTTAGATGAAGAATCCTGATTTGCGCAGGACTACGCATCCAGAATACAATCTAGCATTACAAGCAAGCGACTTCGTTTAGAATCACTTTCCGAACCAGAACCGCCCACTTGGCTGGAGTGTCCACTTTTTTAATACACTGTCAGCAAAGTGCGATTTGCTAAGTATTTCGAAACAGGGAAAGCATGTTGGCTCTCGTGCCATGAGAACAAAGATCACTCACAGAACGACACATATATGACACTCAGTGACTTTGATGAGAAGGGACAAAGTGTGCGCCCAGGAAAGCAGTCTCTGGAGCCAACAAAGCGATATAGTAAAACCGGCGGCTGGGGCAGCCCAGGATTTAAGGACCTTACAGGACCACGCGGACAAAAAGTTTGGCTTGTTTCGCGCTCCGTAGAAAGAGCTCGCTCGGGCTTCCGCAGGACCCCTCCTGACAGGGAAGGACGGCGCGAGGTTGCCTGAGTAGTGCCTGTCGTGTGCGCCAATGACGGGCCGGGCTGAGAGAGAAGACTCGTAGGCCTCTGGTCTCGTAACAGCCTCCATCCGGAAACAGAAGCGAGTGCGCTCCGGCACTGCGGGAGCCACCGCTAGCGTAAGAGGCAGTGCACATGCGCACAAGGGTCCTGCCAACCCTTAAATACCGTCATGCAGGCGCGTCAGGCCTATTTCCGCCGAGTCGCGCGGAGGCGGAGGCTCGGGGTGAGTTGTTTGCGGTTCGTGGCTCGGAGACTCCTGGCTGGGGTTGGTGACGGATGTCGGGGTCTAAACTTAACAGTTACCTGTTCTGTCTTTCAGTGCGTTCAAGATTCGGCTCCACCCGTAATCCACCGCCATGGCCGAGGAAGGGTGAGCCCGGGGTCGGGGTCGGGGTCGGTGTGGAAATGGCGCGGCCGGAGAGCTGGCGGCGCGGGATTGGGTCCGTCGGGGCAGCTTGAATGTGTTTGTCGAGTCAAACTGATTTGCTTTAACCAGTTCAAAGCGTTAAGTAGCGCCAGGGTTCCTAACTGATAGTCCCTGTTTGTCGTGTTTCAGCATTGCTGCTGGAGGTGTAATGGACGTTAATACTGCTTTACAAGAGGTGCTGAAGACCGCCCTCATCCACGATGGCCTAGCACGTGGAATTCGCGAAGCCGCCAAAGCCTTAGACAAGTACGTGAATCAGTCTCAATACTAAGGGTTGTTGCAACCGGAACAACACTGCAACCGAGGGATGAAAACGCGAAGTTCATGGTGTTAGCACAGTTTCTGAATGGCATCGGTCCTACAGGAAACGTAGGAAAAGGTATCAGAAATTAGATCCATTTAACCCGCTGCAAGTATGTGGGTTGCTGTTTGGAACGGGGTGAATATTTAGTTTTTGAAGGAAGAGGAAACTACAGGGTTTGAATGATGACTTGAATTGTCGGATACCCCTTCACTCCCTCTATGAGTGAACAATCACAGTCTGACAAACCTGTAAGTTACGAGGCTAGTGAGGAGTTCCACCTTGTCTGGAGGACAGGTGCAGAGCCTCTTTTGCAAAACTTTAAAGTGTGTTGTAGAATTATCTCGACGTTTACATTTAAATATCAAGGTAACTGAAAGTTCGATTTAACAGGTAAATATGTGTAGTCTAGTGTCATTTGGACTGATTTATAGTAGCAGAGTAACTGCATACTTGAACTTAGATGAATTTAAGTGCGTTTTAATGTTCTCTAAGTCATATACGTTTTATTTTAGAGCTGAATCCAGTGAAAATAACGCTACTTGACTTTAGGTCCTGGTATGAACTGTAATTTAACAATATTGCAAAATACTGGTGTCTGAGCTGGTAGCAGATAGTTATTTGTGTGGTAGTTTAAAATTACTGGTCTTGAAATGCATAAAATGACTGACTGACCAGAAAGATGTTAAAGACTTGATTTAGCCACAAATTTTAAATTACTAGTACAAACCTGGTGTGGGGAGGGATGCACTGAAGTTAAGTGTGTTGTAGAGGAGTTGGATGAATGTTTTCTAACAGGTTCATCAAAGTGAAAGTTTGCGCTTGGTAATACGTTCCCATGGACGTACTATATCCATATTTTGCCAGTGGTAGGTAGTGCAAGTGTAGTGAGTTTGTGCTTGAGTTTCAACTTCATTTTAATTGCATTTTGCATTTCAGGCGCCAAGCCCACCTGTGTGTGCTTGCATCCAACTGTGATGAACCTATGTATGTCAAGTTGGTGGAGGCCCTTTGTGCCGAGCACCAAATCAACCTGATTAAGGTAAGTCTTATCCATCTTGTTTTTCTGAAGCATTAAAATATAATTAGTTTAATGAAAATTGGATTGATTTAAGGGTGATATGTTGAATTTAAGTATAGTGGTAATTTGCTATACTGGGGCAAATACTTCAAGTTTCAAGCTTGTTGCTTTTTCTGCAGGTTTAAGTAATACGTGGCCCTACTTTTGACTTTATGAAAGCTAATTAAATCAACCTCTTGTAGCTGGAGAGTTAATAATGCTAGTTTTGAGATTGGTTCAGAGCAAAATCAGTGTAGAGTGGTTTGATAGGTGACCTGGTGCTGTGCATGATGACAACTGGCTCCCTCTACTGAGCTGAGATGAGGAAACTGCCTTGTCACCACCTGATACAGCCACCCTGTGGGTTTAATTTATCATCAGTAGTTTTAATAGGTATTAATAAAGCTTTTCTTTTTCTTTTTTTCAAACTACCCCAACAGGTTGATGACAATAAGAAACTAGGAGAATGGGTAGGTCTCTGTAAAATTGACAGAGAGGGAAAACCCCGTAAAGTGGTTGGTTGCAGCTGTGTAGTAGTTAAGGTAAGTCGGTATTAGTATTTTCTTTCAAATATGTTGTGCTGAGTAACTTGTGTAACAGTTTAGAAGTAAAGTTGAAAGGTTTAGAGAAAACAAGAATTCAATAGTTTTTAAAACATGTCTAGTTGAAAAAAAATAGTAAACCATTACATAGAAGCCAGCCAATAAATCTGCTTAGCTGAATGTGTTTCTGCAGGAATTTAGAAAAAGCTGGCAATAGTAAAGCCATGTTACGAGCCTTAGCGACATTGTACAGTCATTAAGGTCCCTGAAAATGGCTACAATTACAAAGTAATTGTGGGAAGCATTTTCATTAGACATATAATTACAGCTTCACTGAAATTTAAGTTATAATTTAGTGACATTTTAAATGTTGATGAGAAACTGCATTTTTTTTTAAGGACTATGGCAAGGAATCTCAGGCCAAGGATGTCATTGAAGAGTACTTCAAATGCAAGAAATGAAGTAAAACATGTCTAGTTGAAAAAAAATAGTAAACCATTACATAGAAGCCAGCCAATAAATCTGCTTAGCTGAATGTGTTTCTGCAGGAATTTAGAAAAAGCTGGCAATAGTAAAGCCATGTTACGAGCCTTAGCGACATTGTACAGTCATTAAGGTCCCTGAAAATGGCTACAATTACAAAGTAATTGTGGGAAGCATTTTCATTAGACATATAATTACAGCTTCACTGAAATTTAAGTTATAATTTAGTGACATTTTAAATGTTGATGAGAAACTGCATTTTTTTTTTAAGGACTATGGCAAGGAATCTCAGGCCAAGGATGTCATTGAAGAGTACTTCAAATGCAAGAAATGAAGAGATAATAAAAATTGGCTCGTGATCCTCGTGTCTGGTTTTTTATTTGGGTGGTAAAATAAGGAAGTGAGTTACTGCAAATAAATTAGCTCATTGGAAACATAACTCTACAGTAAACTGCTTAATTGACCTTTCTAGAGAGGCTTGTTTGTCCAACCAGTGGACCAGTTAAAACATGAGAAGCCTAGGCATAGATGGGTTGCTGGGGGAGATGTAAATTTCTAACAGCCAGGCTTACTTGCTTTTGGGCCCTTATTACTTGGAGGTGGTCATAGGAACTGGAGAACTAGGCACAGGTTGGGTGTTTGGTTGTATGCTGTAGGTCACTGGAAGCCCATGCTTACCAAAAAATAGTGTGGATATATTCAGAGGAAGGATCATAGTGCCTAGTTTTCATTGTTTCAAATGTTTTGCACAGAGGCAAGGTTGTTTCAGTATACCTCTGTTCCTAAAAACTTAAAGGAAAAAACGTGAGTGCATTTCAACCGCAAAAAGACCTGTTCTGTTAAAACATTTGTTCTGAGTCAGTGTAGTTGAACCAGATTTGCTTTTGGGTGCCACTTGAGCCATTGTTTGAATTTGCATTCTGTACATTTGTAGATTACATCCCTTTTAAAGAAGCTGCCATAGTAAAGGGCATTTAGCGTGTTGCTTTATGATTCAAATAAGTAATTGCTAGAAAGCTGGGGCCCATGAGTTGAACACATGGTGTTTACTGTGAATTGGGAAGTCTCTAAGTTGAGCACCTATGAATAAACCCTTCAGGTTGTATGGCCTAGTATCAGCTGTTTAGGCTGCAGGTGCTGTTTCTCTTCCAAAGGTAGTTACTTTAAATTTTTGTTTGGTTGCTTGGTCTACTTAGCACCCTTCAAATTTTTAAGTGTTCAGTGGTAAAACATCTGTTCTTTGTTCTTAGACCTTGTGAATTTTCTATAGGGCATGCATGCTCAGCAAGAGATCTCATGTGGCCAGGTCACAATCCCTTCTCCATTCTCACACACTTGGTGTAAGTTTTGGAGCCCTTGGGTCCAGGACTCAAATCTTAGTTGGCTTTGTGGGAGTCCTGCCATCTACTAGTCCCTAGACTTTTTAAAAACGAAGTTGCACCTTAATTTTTGCTATGAAAAAGTTCTGATTTTGCAGTTCCTTACGGTATTTTAAGTAAGCACTTGACACATTCCCCCAAAACACTAAAAAGGGCAACTTTAATCTGTCACCACCTATGCCTGTGGTAGAGAAAAGTCACCCTGCCAGGCAAGATTGACCTGCAATTCATTGATGTTTGGGGGACAAATGCACAGGTTCCTGGCATGAGTTCTAGTCACGAGTTGGTGTCTTAGCTGCAGTTGACTATGGGAGTCCAGCACTTAAGCCACTGCCACCTTTGGGCACCCTGCTGAAAGTTAGCTACCTTATTGGCTTGGTGCTTTTTTAGTTTGGGCCAGGAGTCCAGTCCATGCCTCCTACATACCTTCTTGAGTATGTACCAGGAGTAGGCTGAAAGCACCTATTAATACCAACAGTTTCCCAGAGGTCTGATCCGATGGCTGATTCACAGCAAGCATGTACAGGAATTTTTGTCTCTGCTTTATCTTTGCTGTCCCAGTCAATTTTTTTTCATCCACCTCACCTACCCTTATGGTTGCAGTTCAGGCTGGGGCCATTTTATCTTTTTTTGAGACATGTCTCACTTCCATAACTTGAAATGCTTTTTAGATTATTTTGGCCATGAATCAACTTTAGGTTGGGGTGTGCAGCACACCTTTTCATGGATGTCCACCTAACGGGAATTCACGTTTTCACTATGTTAACAAAGTGGTTTATACATTCATATTTACTTGTTAGTCTACCTACTTCATAAGCCAAAGCATCCATTCTTCAGCCTCTACTTAGGGACTATCTGAGGGTCTCATTGATACATCTTTATTTTGTATATTACTCATCTAAACTAAATGCCCCTTTTCATAACTACCTGTTCACATCTCAGAGGTGCCTTTTTCCCGCTTGGATGTTTACTGTCTTTCAAATAGTGCAAGTGTAACTTCTGCTTTAGAATGTGATCTGTAGCTTGTATGGGTGCCTGAGGGATCCTATCAAAGCTTAAATACTACAGTACAAGCAGTTTTAGTTTTTGCCATAGGGTGGGTGTGCTCAGCAGAGGGGCAGGACAATGAGGAAATCACCAGGGAGTATGGCTATTCTGCACTCACTCCATTCTCTGGGTTTTGGACGCTTCCTCTGTGCAGTGTACCCAGAACAAGAGATGGTCTCAGCTAAACATTTGTTTTCTTTGCTCCCCTGGGCAGTGAGGCTCAGGTTTCTTTGGCTATGAAGAAACTCCAAGCCAGATAATTTCATTTTCTGTTTTTTAGAATATAAGTTAGGCTCAGGACATCCACAGAGATTACAGTATCTGTGTATTGAAGAACTTGTCAGTTTTGAAATTGTGGTTGAGGCAGTGGAAGCATTTAAGCAGAGGTTTTGTAAATCATAAAATAGTGTAAGCACCCTTTAATTTTACTGAAGACTACTCTTAGCCCTTAAAGTAGAACGTGAGTATTAGGTTTTGTTTTGGATGAATACTTTAAAGCTTAGAGTTGGGCTCAAGGTATATTGTGGAGAAGGAAGTGGATAGTCGAGAGGAATTAAAGTTAGCGTTTGTTCACTCCAGACAGGATGGCACTGGTTGATGGCTGAGAGAGGACACTACTCCAGCCAAGCCTTTCCAGGGAGTGCAGTCTGCATGCCAGGAGAATAGATTTATAGCAGATATCAGCAAGAGTAATAGAGGCAGCATGGCAGGGCAAAGGAGGTTCCCAGGAGAGTAACT